ACACCCGGGTGTTTACTTGACCTCCCTGCCTGAGGCATGAGATCGAGAGTAAGTGATGAGTTTGAACTTGATCCCTCTCATTACATTCCTAAACTCTTGAGCACCATGATGTATTATGATAAATTCTCTTACCATCATCCATGTAGTCTAACGTCAGAATGTAACGTATCATTTTGAATGATTGCAGGGATGAAGGTGACAGGAGAAGAGGACCAGCCGAGGAAGCCTCGAGCTGGAGAGATTCAAGTCGCCGCGACGATAGGGATAGAGATGACCGCCGACGGGAGAGAGATGATCGCCGTGATCTGAGAGAGAGGCGAGATGACAGGGATCGCCGGGGACCTCCGCTCAGATCAGAGCGTGAAGAAGGTAGATTATGTGTACAGCTGCTGAACTGCTGGAGAATCGTGACTTCTGGGGGGTTTGGGGTTTTAATTGTCTCATAGATTTATGTGAACACCAGAAATACGACAGTGGTGCTTAGCTTAGAATTCACAGTTCTCGTAAAAGTCAGTCAGTGGTTGCTCCAAGATTCACCAGTGACTATCGATTTGGCGGTCGTGAGTCTGCCAGCTGTCACCGTGTGGTGGAGCGTTGATTGTTCTGTGTCTCAGTCTGATCTCTGTCAGCGTCGGCTGGTCCACCCGACCGTGGAGCATCGTCCAGCAAGAGATCTCCAGCATGAGACCTCGCAGACCACTTTTGATGTGTTCGATCAGTCACAGCACTGTCTTCATACACTGCAGAAATCTTTTTCTGCATTTCAGTTGCATTTTAATATTCTTGAAATCATAAAGCAAACCGTCAAAAATGTTGCATATATTCTTCCATCTTCAATATTGAAATGGCTACACAAAATTAATTTTAATAAGCCATCGTATGGAAAAAAACAAATGAACTTTTTTGGCCAACCCAGTAGAGTAGTACACTAATTAAATTGGTTACTAAGCAAAATATATATATAGATAAAGAGTTCCTTTTATGTAAACAAGGAAACAGTTTATCACTTTTTTTTTTAAGTAAGGTCATAGTGGATTAGGAGAAAGTATAATAAATATTCTTTCTCTGAAATTGTGACAGTTGAAACTTTAGTAAAAAATACTTGATATTTAAAATTACCATTGCACTTAAATAATTGTCTTACAAGCTTCTAATACTTGATTAGTACAACTGTGCATTGTAAGGGTATTTCTGAGCCAGAAACCCTTTAATTTAAAAAATTTTTAAATTCAGCCATTTTGTTATCACTTTCTTATAGTCTTTGTAGATTATTGGGTTGGCCAAAACATTCATATAGTTTTTTCCATAAAATAAAAGACATTTTTCATATTTTCATCAGTAACTGTATCGATCTGGATATTTTGAGTGTGTCGGCTGTCTCCCACATAGCATAAGGTTGACTGTTCTCAGCTAATTTCTCCATTGGATCGCATTGTCCGGCGAGAAGTCTCTGGCGTGATACTTCACGAAGCACTCTTCACATGCACAGTCACAGCACCTTCTCCACACGCTGCACAGATCTTTTTTTTTTTTTTGCTTTTTGTTGTGTTACTACCTTTCTTGAAATAGTAAAGCATAATATTCCATCTTCAGTATTAAAATGGCTACACAATAATTCACCAGTTTTGATGTTACTGTTTTAAATGCATGCTGATATGACAGCTGTCACAATACAACCTAACCAAATTGTTTCAAATGAGGTTAAAGACAACCAAGCACCACTAGAGCCATCTTAGGAGAAAAAAACCAAATGAATTTTTTGGCCAAACCAGTAAAACAATTAGGACACTTCCCAGGCCAGTGATTTCTTGTTTGCAAATTTCAAGTATATCTCTCTGCATGTTTTCAAGGTTTTGTTAAGAAAATGTATCAAAATGATTATAATATATTTAGCTTTTATTGGTTTCAAATGCCGATTCCGTATCGTTCTTTTCAGTACAGGATTTCTGAGTAATTCGAGGCATTCCTTTTGCCGAAGTTCTGCTTAGTTTCAGCCGGTAGAGGACACTACAAACTAATTCTCTTTCCTTTAACTTTTTAGCAAGTTCCTGGAGACGTGCTGATGACAGGAAAGATGATCGGCCAGAAGAGCGGGATACCCCTCGTCGCGTTCCCCCTCCAGCTCTTTCAAGAGACCGAGAAAGAGAGCGAGAGCGAGACCGAGAAAGAGAAGGCGAGAAAGAGAAGGCCTCGTGGAGAGCTGAGAAAGACAGGGAGTCCCTTCGTCGTACTAAGAATGAGACTGATGAAGATGGATGGACTACGGTACGACGTTAAGTCTCAGAACGACAGACTCAAACTCCTGTCTTACATAGGTTTGATCACATCCGAGGATTACTATTCTTGTGCTTCAGCCAATCTGAATTGGATTCGTTAATGTTGTCTCACCATAACACAGCATGAACTTGTACTAATCCTATATAATAGATCGATCATGCGCCGTTTCCACAGAAGGTTGGAAAACAATGCCATTTTCTGGAATTTAAGGTGTTGCATTATTTCATCAATCACTTGTTTACAAAAAAGGAAAAATAAAAAATAAATTTAAAATGTGAACCCTTCAGGTATTGAGTAATACTCGTATCTTGGTATAGAACTGATATTTTTTTTGATTTTTGAAATATATTAATTTGGAATGAGGTAAGGTTCTATTATAGAAAATGTATTTCAAGACACTCTAAAGCAAGGGGCTAAAGCAGTTTTCACCCCGTTAGCAGCTGAGACATGCCTCTCGGTGTTTTGAGGTACTGACTAGATATAAAACGTTTGGGTTCACTCTGAGCGCAGTGAACTTTACAAATATCCGGTGCAGTGGGAGTTTCTGTAGATTTTACTTGAGAGAAGGTGAGTATAAAGCAATCTGCAGTTGTTGTAATGACAAGAATACTGCTCACGTGTGAATCCAGAAGTTACAGCTTTTAAATTTTAAAGTATTTGGTAAACCTTTGCTGAGTTTTTTTTTCCTGTTGCCAATAGCAAATTGCTCTTCCATTAATGGAGAATTCAGCCTTTCAAGCATTTTAAATAAGACAATATTTATAAGTGTGGTTTGGAGGAATTGTTTCAATTCTTTTTCTTAATTTCTTTTCAGGATAGGTTCTTTCACCAAGTAATTGTAGTAATGACTGTGTTGACTTCAATTTTGGGGTGTAGTGGCTGTGTTCAGGATTAACTTTGGTCTCATTGAAGCCAACACAGAACTTGCTGCTGTGGTTTTCTTTAATGATAAATAAAATACTTACAGAATTTGTTTCTGTGTTGATTTGTGATTATATTTAAAATGTTTTGTTTGTAATGGTGAATTTGCATATTGAGTTTGTTTTTTACTTGACTTTTGTCTGCACCAGTAAATGTCTTAGTTTTTAGTGTCAGAGACAAGCCAAGTGCACTGTCAAGCAGACGTGGATAGGTTGTGTCCCCAAGACGATGTCCTGCATTAATGTGGACCCCTTGGCTCCTGGGCAGTGCTGTTGTCTCTGTGAGCTTGTGTGTGTTGTGGAGTGTGCGTGCGTGTGTCTACTTGACCATATGGGTTATCCTCTGAAATTAGAAAAATTATAACTCAGAGACGTTAGTTGCAGCTTCATAGTAGCTATAGGCACTTAAATTATTTCTGATACTGAGTGGTGAGAATTCCTGTTGGTATAGCCAGAAGAGGGAGTATTGATGCTTTTATACTTAAATATTATCACATGTGGCCTTTTCTGTTTGATGTTCCCAATGATAGAAAGCACTTTTTACACCTGTAGCTTTCTTTTCAAACAAGTAGAAGTCTTTAAAAGGTCTTGTGGGGAAAGGGCCTTTCTTTTGTAACAAAAAGTTGGGGCAGTGACCTACTGGGAACTGACCCCCCCTGCACCTGAACTCCACCCCCGTCTCAACATGCACGTAGTTTTTCACAGGTGTCAAAGCTGACCAAGCAGCCTACTTACTAACGTGTAGAAGTCGCCATGTTCCCAGTGGCTACCACATTTTTAAATGAGAATACCATCACTGTTAATAATACAAGTGGATCAAGGTGAGCGGAGATAGACACTGGCCAAAAAAAGACAATAATCCCACCAGGTGTCTCCAGGGGCCCCCAGGAGGAAGTTGGCATCTGTGGGGGGGAGATGCCAGGTACTACCTGTGTTTTGTTTTTTACTATTTTGACTATAGATTGATTCACAGTTTTATAAGGGTCATTGACACATGGGACACTATGGAAGGTATGTTTCTCATGTTGTGGCTAATAAGAACAGACTAGAAAATGACAACTAAAACTTTTCCTTTGATGAGAGTACATACATTTGTGGTATAATTTTAAAACATGTCATTTCGGCTTATAATAAATCTATGCCAAATGTTGTAGTCAAAGTTAGTCAGTTTTGCAGCTTCCAAAAAGGACTTCACAGGAGAATTAAAATTCAAGGACAAAAAAACCACTGAAAATGTCACTGCAGAGGACAGGCAGGGTAAGGCAACGCATCCCTCTGGACTTGGTAAGGCTCTTCAGAGGGTTCCGTACGTTGTGTTGATTTTAAGCTAAATGTGGAGCGTGTTTTGTTTTTTTTTAAGATTATATTTTTTAGAGAGGGGGAAGGGAGGGAGAAAGGGAAAGAAACATCAATTGCTTCTCTAGCGCTCCCTAACTGGGGCCCTGGCTGGCAACCCAGGCATATGTCCTGACTGAAATGGAGCCAGCAGCCTTTTTGAGGCTGGTGCTCAGTCCACTGAGCCATACCAGCCAGGGCTATAGTATGCTGTTATTGACAACTTTTTTCATACCAATTTTTAAACCTAAGAATTGGTAGGTTACATTTAAATACTGGGTTGGCCAAAATGTTTTAGTTTTTTCCATATGGTAGCTCTAGTAGTGCTTCATAGTCTTAACTTCATTGGAAACAATTTTGTTAGATTGTATTGTGACAGTTGTCATATCAGCGTGCATTGAAAAACAAAATTGGTGAAATTTTGTGCAGCCATTTTAATATTGAGGATGGAAGAGTATATGCAAGATCATCGGTGTATTATGCTTTATTATTTCAGCAAAGGTAAAAATGCAGCTGAAATGTAAAAAAAGATTTGTGCAGTGTACAGAGAAGATACCCTGACTGATCGAACATGTTAAAACCAGTTTGTGAAGTTTCTTGGTATTGATATTTTGGTCAAGTAATTCTTTGCTGTGGGGCTAGCTTATGCATTGGAAGATGTTTAGCAGCACCCCGGCCCCTACCCACTAGAAATCAATAGCTGGAAATAGGAGATATACTGAAAATACCAATAAAAAGTCAATAAAGCTACTGGTCAAAATGAAAAATGTCTTATTTCACATAAAAGACATAATAATGTACTTTAAAGCCAACCTAATTTGTGAGTGTGGTTACTAGACTTTTAATAAGATATCTCTAGAAACGTAAGGGTAGTAATACCCTCTTTATATCTCTCAGTATTTTAATATTAGCTGGAGAAGGCAAATTTCGGGGCGGGGGCAATAAATAATACAGGTTTTGTTTTAAATGGATTAATACAATGGTTGCCAACCTGGCTGAGGGTCTTTTGGATCCTCTTCCCAACACGCTCCTGACCTCAAAGCTAAAACCGATGTTCAGTGTGTTCCCCTTTAGGCACGTCCCACCCAGTGACTTGTTTTGAAGATCTATCTAGTGAAGTCTGGGACGGGGAAAGTGTCTATAATTCAGCTCCTCTTAAGGATACAAAGAAACTGCCTGCCTGCTCCTCCTGGTCTGAGGAATGCACTGATCTGTTTATAGTGACTCGCTGAAAAGATAGGGAACAGCAGGAGGAGGGCTAAGGCGAATTCACATCCACCTGAAAAGTACCCCATAAGCACAACTAACTTACGCTGGTGTACTTTCTAGCCAAACAAGAGGGATTATGTGGCTTTATTAATCTACTTGAGTTTAGGCCCAGTTAATTTGGAAGTTTTTCCGCCTAGGGCAGGAGTGGAGTTTCTCTTCCTGGCCCAGAAACAGTCTGCATGTCCCCCATCCCTCTCCCGAGTGACACGCCTTCTTCCTCTAACAAAAAGGCTCTCGAGGTACCCAAGAGGATTTACTCCAAGCTCTAGTACACCTTCAGAGTAGTGCTCAAGCCAGTTTGTTGTGGAGGATGCTAGCTCTTTAATATGAAAGCAGTCTAATCTCTTAAATTCTCCTGCTGGAATCTTTATGTGCTTAGGTTAATCTCCTGCTGATATTTTCAGATAGGCATTTTGTATTTCTGGTGGTTTTATCTTTATTTCCATTTCTGCCTCTCTGGATAGGCTGCCCGTGATGGTGTGGCATTCAACTTGGGGGATATAAAAAGGAGGGTGGCAGGTAGGATAGTGGTTAAGAACCTTTGCCTAAGAATCAGGTTTAACCTCATTTATCTATAACTGGTAGAGTTCCAGGAACATTGGGGTCTTCCAGTGAGAATGGGAACATAGGTTTTGCTCCTCGTCTCCAACCCCCAGCTCCATAATTACTGCTTCTTCTGGCTTGGGGACCATCCGAGAGTGTTCAACCCACAGGCCACATGGGGCCCAGAATGGCTATAAATGCAGCCCAACCCAAAACTGTAAATTTACTTAAAACATTGAGTTTTGCGGTTATTTTGCGGTTACCTGTTGCAATGCATTTAACGTGTGGCCCAGAGACACCAAAAGGTCCGACACCCTAAAGCCAGGCAGCCCAGAGTGGAACCTTCAGGAACACAGGTTATTACATGAACCTTCCAGGGTGCAAAGAGTTTCATCTTCCACTTAGCTTGAGAGGCGAGGGCTGGAATGGGTTTTCCACTACTTTGGAACCCAGGCATTGAACGATTCAGGGTCATTGCTACCTGCTCTTGATCTTAGTATCACAGTTTTTAAAGAACTGGAAATGGGGGGCGGGCACAAAGACAAAAAGCCAAGTAGCAAAGTTATAGGCAAGATTAATGAAATCGTATACTGTTACAGTATAAATACACAAGTCACTTCTTAAACAGCACCATTTCCAAGTGGGTACACAATATGATTATAACGGCACAACTTTTAAGGGTGGAAAATGCTAGTTGCTAGTTCAGTAATAAAAGATCTGGTACCTAAGAATAAATTGTATTCTACCCGCTACAGAGTGTGCATTTTTTTTTTATACCTTCAGCTAGGACAGAAACAAGCCACAAAGAGGGAATACCTTCTCAAATTAATACTGAAAAGAATTCTTCACTTCTCAAAACAGATGCTACCAGGGGCTTGCTTTGCCTGGAATAAGAGTAACGGATTAAGGACAACTAAAAAAAAAATGTTTCAAACAATAAAAGTCATTTTGCCAACATTCCATAAAATCATCGGTTTTAAGTTCAATTAAGAGGCTTTTAAAAAAATATTCTAGACCTAGTAAAGTGCCTCCATTAATAAAATTAAACATCCAAGATTTGATTGAGATAATTTCATATTGATGCGCATCTAAAATAGGTCGACGTGTACAGTAAATAAACGGCGCCTCTAAGTTGCAATATTTCAGTTAGTGGAATACACACAGCCTTCACTGTCCGGATGCGCACAAACTAGAAACTAGAGACAAATCAAGATTTTAGCGTCTTGACTCAACCGCAGTACTCCGAACGGCCTGCTTTCTTTGAAAAATCCAGAACGACACGGCAAGTTGAAGCAACTGCTGTCTCCACGCCTTCCCAACAGCAAGGAAGAGACGGTGCGCAGACCAAAGATGAGAGTGGGCAGGCGGTGACCCTCGTGGCGTCAGGTGGCAGCAGGCTGCGCTCACCGCAGCTTCTTGCCCGGCAGGGAGTCCCTGGTGCTGCGCTGGGGCGGCCGGGCGGTGGGCGGCGGCGGCGGCACTTTGGAGAGCGGGCAGTACTTGATGGTGTGCGCGTTGTCGCCGCTGGCGCCGCACAGGGGACACGTGTAGCGGCGCAGCACGGGGCACAGCACCCGCCCGTCGGGTCCCTTCAGGATGTGGGTGGTGTAGAGCGCCACCGCCTCCTTGTTGTTCCGGCAAAACACGCACACCTGCAGCTCGGGCTTGAGGAGCCGGGCAGCCGCGGCCCCGGAGGCAGCGTGCAGCCGGGGCTCGGCCGCCCACGCCGGGGCTCGCTCCTCGCGCGGCGTCACCTCGCTGGTGGCTGCCGCGGCGGGCGCGCAGCCCAGCAGCACCGCGGCGGCGCGACCCGCGAACGGGCTCAGCTCGGCGAAGCGCTCCTCGAGCAGCCCGGCCTCAGCGGGGCCTGCGCACAGCTCCAGCGCGCTCCCCAGGTAGCGGGCCCCGCACCCAGGCTCGTCACTGTCGTCGTCGTCCTCCTCCTCTTCGTAGTCCGGCGGCCCCAGCACAGGCCTCAGCGCCCCGGGCCCAGGCCCGGCGTGAGGGGAGCAGCAGGAGGAGGAGGAAGAGGAGGGCGGGGAGCCGCCGCCGTCTCTGTCTTCTCCGCGGGCACAGCCGAAGCGCTGCTCGCCGTCCACCGCCTTGGTGATGAGCGTGGCGAGCCCCAGATAGTCGTTCCACGAGCTGAAGGGCTGTGGGTGCGATGGGCCCTGGGCGCTCACGTAGCGGGCGCTGGGCACGAGCGCCATGGGCGGGGGGCCGCGGCGGGGCGAGTGGGGCGCCCAGGGGAAAGCCTCCATGAGCCGGCTGCGGGCCGCGCGGGCCGCCTCCCCGCCGCCGGCGCGGGCCGGACGGAAGGGACGCGCGGAGCTTGCCCGCTGGCCAGCCGCGGGGGTGGGGCCGCCTGGCCGCCTTTTATCAGGCCCCGTTCCTCCCCGCCCCCCGGCCTCGCCGCCGCGGCCCTGCCCCCTGCGCTCCCCCGCCCGGGCCACCTCGCCCGCGCCCCGGACGGAGGCGGAGCGGAGGCGGGCACGCGCTCCGCTCCGGACCGCGAAGCTCTGGCGCCCAGCGCTGCGCCAGCCTCCCCAGCTGCGGGGTGGCTTTCATTCTGGGAGGGGGCGGACGGGGAGCCGCCACGAGCCCCGGCGCCAATTGGCTGCCGACCAGAAACCCCCTGCGCCACGGGTGCCGCTCCGGATGCTGATTGGTGAAACCGGGGGAGGGGCGTGCCCTGCCCGCTCAGGGCGGCCTAGTGGGGTAAGTAGAGGAGAGGAGAGGAGAGCTGGGGAGGGGTGTCTGCTGGAACCTGCCTTCTCCCGAGTTCTGTACCCTGGGCTTGAACAGGTGACATACTGGGGTTTCAACAGGTGACTAAGCGTTGGGCTCCCTCGGCCTAGTGGTGAGACTCGCCAAGGACGGGTTAGGTATGGCGATGGGGGAATGACTCAAGGTTCACGCGTCCACCTCCCGGCCTTTAATCTCCAGGCCAGAAGCCCCTGCTCGCCTCCCACCTCCTCACCAGCATCAGCAAGAAAAGCCGTGGGGAGGTAGGACCGGGCGCGATCTAAGAATGCAGTTTTGGAGTCAGAGCCACCCAGCAATCAAGTAATTTAACGTTTGCACAGCACTTTGGAGCGATTTCAGCTGCATGAAATCCCCACCCAAACCTCCGAGGTTCACACAGGTTAGGGCTCTCGCCTTAGTAAGTAGTGGAGGGGCGCAGCACTTCCTGCAGCCGCCTCCCGACAAGTGTTCAGAGCCTGGGTGCCATTTAACTGGTGACTTACGTAGAGGTAGGGAGTGAGCCAGAAAACCTTCCAGCCCTAGGATTGGGGGGTGCGTTCGAGAGCAGCTCTGCCCCATTCTCCCGGTGTGTGTGTGTGTGGGGGGGGGCAGGCACTATTTCTAGAGCTGAGGTGTAGGTGCCATTTGAAAAGCAAAGCATATTTAGCACCACAATTTAATACTTTGAAACGAATACAATACTTTTGTAAAAACAATGGAAACATAAGATTTTTGAATAGGAGGGTGTGCAGTGGTCATGTCCTTCGTGGGAGAAGGGGCAACACCTTTTTGTGTTTTCATGGAAGGGTACTGGGAAGGGGCCTTGTAGGATTGCGTGGGGCTGGAACATGTCTCTCTTGGTGGCGGGGCTGGCAGGGTGGGGCTTTCCTTCCCCCATGGCGATGGAAACAAGGAGCAGTCAGGTGGCTGTGCCCAGCAGCTTGAGAATGGCCGAAGGAGGACACCCAGAACCTCTGATGACACCAGTTCCCGTTAGAATGACAGAGTGAGTCAGCATGTCAGCAGTGGATGGGGTCTTTGGGGTTAGATCAATCTTACTCCCCTCCTCTCGGGGAAAAGGTCACACAGTGAATGCACTAGCAAGAACTGGGTCCTGTTACGCCTGGCTTGGTGCCTTTCCTGCTATACTGTGGACCCAAAGGTGTTTCACACCAGGAGTCCATGTGTGCATCAGCAGAAATCAAGTTTAGAACTCAGGGGACACTGGAAGAAGGGGCCATACCTTTGGCTTGGGCCACAGCCCTTGGGGACCATCCAGGGGCCAGGAGGCAGGCTCCGGGAAGGACTTGAGGTGGTAATGCGATGCCTGTTCTGGCCACCCGTCCCTGTGAGGGGTCCAGGATTTGCTTTCCTAGTCTCTTCCTCACTTCCTCCTCCCTAAAGCTTGGTTTAAGTCCTGAAACCAGGCAGTAATGCTCTCCACTTGCCAACCCAGTTCCTCTTTCAAGTTTGTGTTGGCACCCAAGTGAAAAAGTCATTCCTTTATTTCCTCTCCTTCTCCCACCAAAAATAAATAAAAGAGCCTGTAAGGCGTGGGGCTCCTGCAGAAGCATGGCAGGTTTGCTGCCACAACTCTGAGCTCTTACCACGAGAACGAGGCCCCCAGAGGGGTATGAAGGTTATTATTCTATAAATGGAAAATTCCACTCTGTTCGCACAGCCCTGCAGCCCGCATACTTTCAAGGCATGCAGACATTGTACGCTCTGAGGGTGGGAGCCGCCGCTCTGAGGACAGCTTCTGCAAGGAGAGTTTAAAACCACCAGCTGCTGTGTCTGACCCCTTGGGCAGCCCAAAGAGAGGATGGCCGAAGGTGAGGCCCCTCTCCTTTCGACATGCTGTCAGCCTGAGGTTTTACAAGGCGAGTGGAGGCCTTTCAGTGCACGTGAATGAGAACGAGTGCTTTGATTTAGAGCCGCGGGGCGGGTGGGTAGCGATGATCTCCAGAGGGTGCCCTGCCAAGCGGTGGAAGGGAACTCCTGTGTCCTGGGGGATGTTTGGTGGCTCCATGCTGTTTCCACAGGCTGCTCAACTTGTCTGCGATGGCCTTGGCCATTGTCCTATGCCAGTAGGTCTTTGACTGGAGAGGACATCTGGGAATGGAGCCCAAAGTGCATGAGGGCTTTTGTTTTCCAGCACACGCTGGTCTCAGGGCACTGGGTGGCCACAGAAAGGCTGGGGTGGGTGCTCGGTTCAGCTCTGGGTTAACTGGGTGGTTGCTTTTGTCTCCCAGCACAGGCTGCAGCCTGCCCTGAGCTCTCCAGCTTTCTTTGAGGTGGTGGAGCTGACTTCAGAGATGTTCTTAGCACCTCCACTGAAGTCTGTCTTTTGTTCCCTTTCCAGAAGTCTGAAACAAACAGGCAGAAATAGCCAGAGTGTGAAAGTGTCTTCAAAGGACACCCTCGGATTGGTGGAGCAGGAGATCAGATCAGGATGGGCCTCATCACAGAGGTGAGAGGGTGTTGCTGCTCAGTGTCATCGGGGATGGGCCTGCGGGCACACGCGGAAGGCTCCGGCAGGGCGGAGGGCGGGGGGGGGGGGTGAGGAGGGCTGCGGGGCTCTGTGTCCCTGCCTCTCCGCGTGGCCGCCAGCCTGGGCCGTTTCCTTTGCCGGCAGCAGAACTGAACCAGGGGGGGGCCACACACAGGCCTCAGGCTTCTTGAGGCTCTTCAGAAACATGAGGTCAGCCCTGGGCAACGAGGCAGCTTGGCGGACGTCCAGGCAGCTACAGAGATGCCGTTTGTCAGGCTCTGGGTTCCTGCTGACTTGCCTGCCAAGCTCTTTCGAGGGGCAGGAAGGGCTTCGGGTCCTCAGCCGTGGGGCATGGATGCGGGTGAGGGGCGTCTGGGCCCGCTGGGGGCTCTCGTCTGTCACAGCGTGGACTTTGTCTACACTGCGTCTCCGGCCAAGCTCCGAGAGGCCTGGGGATGGTGCTCCTGCCCTTTGGGGCTTCACGTTGGCCACAGTCAGTTGAGAAGTCACGTGGGGAAGTGGTGGGAGCTTCTTGGGCCTTCTGCAAAGTCACACGTGTCCTTGGATGAGGGACTTAACCACTCTGGGCCCCAGTCCCTTCCTGTCAACAGTGAGGGGCTCATGGTATAAAGTGGCAGCCACCTGCCCCTTCTTGCTTTCTTACTCTTGGTCCAGGTGAGTCCCCTCCCTCTGTCTCAGGGATGAGCTGAGGGACAGAAACACCCATGTCCCCTGGACAAGGGTCGGGCCAGGTCAGGGCTGGTGGCCCTGTCCCAGTCCCTGATATATAAGCAGAGGTGTGTTAGGGGCACTCCAGGAGATGACTTCATCTTGTTGAAAAAGAGAAAAGCTGCCTGCCCTTCTTCTGGCCCACCAGCAGGTTGGGGAGCTGAGGTCACTGTGAGGGGCAAGTCTGAGGATGGAGCACAGGCATGCTGGGGCTGGGGACAGCTGACCTGGGGACATTTCCCTTGATGACTTGTGACGCAAGATAAACACCTTTGCTGTTGCAGGCCTGAGCCCAGTTTTCTGCCCCCTGCAGCTGAATTCCTAACTGGGATGCGTGGTGAGTAACACCAAGTGAGTGCATTTGGTGATTCTCTCGGAAGGGTAGGATAGGATACAATGTTCCGGCCAGAGGGCCGTGACAGCCCGGCCGGAACTGTGTGTGCGGACCAGGGCAGGAAGGAAATCAGAGAACCGAGAACAGGGGGCTTCTCGGAGTCTCCTTGCCCCCAGGCCCTGGCCCTGCGGCAGAGCCTCCCAGCTGGCAGTGCTGCTGGTGAACCCGCAGCGTCAGGCCAGGTGCTCTACTTTACGGCACTGAGGCCACGTGAGTCAGGTACCGTGATCGCCTCGGGTTACTACAGCTGTGGCGGAGGCTGCATGGCTGACATGCAGAAGGGCTCACACAGAAACCTGTGTCCCTTGCACCGCAGAGCTGGGCCTACTCAATGCACCTGGTCATTCTCTGGCCATAGGGCTTTGGGGACCCATGGGAGAAGTTGGCCAGCAGCACAGGCAGTGGGGGCCGGAGGGGAGCACCCAGGGATCTCCCCATGTCAGAGATCGCCCCCCAAACAAAATCCATTCCGAGTCAAAGCAGCCCGGGTTTTCCCGATCACCCAGTAGCGGGCACTTGGGTACAGTGAGTACTCCTTTCTGTCTCAGGCACGCCTACGGCCCCCCAGGAACGAGGTTTGCTTTTACATATCTGAGTTGTCCCCATTTGGTGTAAAGCAGGATAAGCCTGGAAGCTGACAGTCTGAAAGGCAGATATCCCAGGGCTGATTGGTGCTGGTAATAATAGTAATAACAACAGGTCTCAGGAGAGGTGCCCGTATAAGGCACTCAGCATGACCTGGTATCATTTCCTAATTCCCCCAGCAGTCCTACAAGGACACCCCATTTCACAAAAATGAAATGAAGTTTGAGAGGCAAAAAGTGCGCCCCACATCTTCCAGTGGGCTGGTGGGTGAGATTTCTCCCAGGCCTGTGCCACCAGCCGCCATCCTTCCTCCGCCACCTCCTGGCCCATGGACGCTCATTCCTGTAGAATTCACTGTATCCTGTCACTCCATCTCCTCATGTGCTTCCTTAAGTGGGCCCATCAATCTTCTCATGCTCCTCTTCAACCCCTGCTGTCTGCAAGGCGGGAAGAGCAAGAGCTGAGGCCCCGGGTGGCGGAGTTACACCTGAAACGGTGAACTGTGCGGTCGAGGTTGTTTTCCAGGGGGCTGAGGTCGGGCCAGGAGGTGAGACCAGATTGCCAGGCAGGGGTGCTGTGTACAGTTCTGCAGGTCATGCACTGCCCCAGGGCTTCCCACTTAAGGGGGCACCTTTCCCTGCACAGACGGGAGACGGCATGTTCCAGTGAATCTGTGATCATTTTCTGGCAGATCTGGAGTGAAGTGCCTTTTTCTAATGGAATCAGTCTATTGTGACAGTTGTCCGACAGGCGGAAAAAATTGTTCTGGGGATGAAGTGCCTTTTCCCAGTTTGCCTGAAGCTTTGACTCTGGCCAGAGGCGTGAAATGAAGAGCCTGCTTGAAAGCAGGCTTCAGGTTTGCCATCAGCTATGAGCCCGTGGGCCTTACTAAAGCTTCAGGTGAAAGTGCCTCCCTAGTTGAGCTGATCAGGCAGGTGCTGGTCCTAGAAGGTACAGATGGATCAGCTGTGCTGCGGAGACGAACACTGTAGACTGCTCAAGTCATTTTAGCCGTCTTATGGTCTTACCTGGCATGCACGTACATTTTCCCAGCTGTCCTGGGTTTTCTAGGGGTTTCTTGTGCCCTGACAGTGCCCCTCCATGATGGTGAGTTGGCAGTAGTGTCTGCCCTGGGGCTTCTGTGGCCTAGTGACTGAAGCGAAGGCAGGTGGTGGGCGAGGCTGGTGTAAATCGAGCAGCCTGGAGCAAGTCATTCCCCTTCTCTGGACCTTGGTTTCTCTCATTTAAAATAATTGGGTTTTCTTGGCTCTTTCTAGCTCTAAAGTTTATTTGTTCACCAGCAAGGCCTGGACCACGTGGCAAATGAGGCTGACCTTCTCCCGAGCTCCTGGAGTTTACACTCTAATTGGGCAGACAGACAAGCAAACAGGTGCTGATGCTTTGGTGGGATGCTAATTGGTTTTCTCTGGCTGCTGTGATCAATTACCTCCAACACAGTGGGTTAAAATAACACCCACTTGTTTTGTTACCATTCTGAAGTCAGAGGTCTGAAATGGGTCTCAGGAGCCTGAAATCAGGTGTCTTCTGCAGGGCCGGTCCTTCTGGAAGCCCTGGGGGGAGAATCTGCTCCCTTGCCTTTTTTAGTTTCTAAAGGCGCCTGCATTCCTTTGAATCACCTCCTCTCCCTGCTCCTTCAAAGCTAGCACTAGCAAACTAAGTCCTTCTTACCTTCTTAAACTGCCATCTCTCTGTTTTTTCTTCTGCTTCCCTCTTCCACCTCTTTAAAAATTGATTTGAGATAGAGAGAGATCAATTAGTTGTTCCGTTTAGTTATGCATTGATCGGTTAATTCTTGTATGTGCCCTGACAGAGGATCAAACCAGCAACCTTGGTGTATCAGGACAATGGTCTCACCAACTGAGCTACCTGGCCAGGGCCCTCTTCCACTTCTAAGGACCCTTGTGAGGACATTTCGTTCATAATCCAGGATAATCTCCCTCTTTTAAGATCAGCTGACCAGCAACCTTAATTCCACGTCCAACTTTAATTCACTTTGCCAGGTAGGGTAAGAGGCACAGGTCAGTGTGGCTGCTGTTGTGCAGCCACAGCAGCGGTGGGGCCTGGAGCAGGTGAGCATCTTCCTGAACCTCCGTTTCTCCATTATAACAGGCTCCTTAACCTCGGCACCATGCCATTTACTGACGGAAGAAAGAGAATTCTTTGTTCTGGGGGCTGGTCTGCACCTTGCAGGGTGTTCACACATCCCGGGACTCTGTCCTTTAGATGACAGTAGCAACTGCGTCTTTCCCCGCCACGTGACAACCGGAAATGTCTGCAGACTTTGTCACATACCCCATGGGGGCAGGACTGCCCCTGGTTGAGAATTCATCTGGAAAGTGGGAGCTTCATGGTGCGGTTGTGGGATTCAGACAAGAGGGTGACAGTAAGAGGTTTGCACAGTGGCTGCTGGGCGGTGAGGTCCCCCCGAGTGGTGGCTGTCTGTATTTTCCTTTTCTGAAGGCACATTTCTGTTACCGTAATTAAAACAAAAGTTATTAGAAATAAACGTTTAACAGTGGGGCACCAGGCTTGACGATGAAATATCCCCAGAGCCCAAGTTACCTTTTCAATGAAATTATTACGAATACATATTTATTACTCAAGTAGCAGATTAATTCCCATTGTGCAAAATTCTAACACAACAGACAAAACACTAATATTTTCCATCATCTCCCCAACCCCCACCCTCTGCCATTTCCTTCCCAGAGGTGACCCCTGAATATAAGTGCCATGAGGACAGGGGCTTGATTTGTACTTTTCATCATTTTATCTCCAGAGGCTGGTGTGGTGCTGGGCACACTGTAGACATGCAATTCATGCCTGTCTAACGCATGACTAAACGAGTGAGTCTAGTGTGCATTCTGATTTTTTAAAAATTGCTATATAAACTTTAGTGGCGGTTATTATTTTTTACCCTAGTTCCACAGCCTACTAGCCATATGGTCGAGTTACCTCACTTCGCACAACCTCAGTCTCATCTGCAGGCCAGGGTTGGTGATATGGCGGCATGGGGTAGTTAAGAGGTGGGACAGTTCTTCCGCCAGGCATGTGAATGGGTGTATACGCATTCCTTTAAATGGAGTATAGAACGTGGTGGTGTGCAGCTTGCTTTTATTCGCTTAGCACGTCTCTGGAGTTTTCCAGGCCAGGATATGTGGTACCGTCTCCCCCTTTAGCCGCTGTGAGGGTGGGCCGTGGTCTATTTAAGGGTTGGCGTTGATCTCCCTGCTCTCCGACTCCCGGTGTCTGGCAGGTGCTCCACGAGCAACGATCTTTTGCTGAATCATTGGGCGGAGTTGCTCCACCAGCTGGAGGAGCCTGTCGGTATTTCAGTTTCCAGCAGCCGTTCAAGTCTTTGAGTCTTTTTGGTTTGAGTGCGTCAGAGTCTGGTCTGGAAGTCTTCCCAAGGTTATTTTTAGCCTTTTTGGCCAGGGGACCAGCCGCTCTATGGAAACGTGCCCCTGGGGCCCGCGGCTGGTCTGCCCCTGCCGCCTTCAGCAGGCAGTCACAGGCTCTGGAGGGTGTGCCCGGCTCGGGAGCTGATGCAGAACCTTGGGTTCTGAATCTCCAGGCAGGACCGGGGTTCTCCTGGGGTCAGCTGCAGTCGGTAGGTAAGGGACCTGAGGGATTCCCGGGTCCTTTTCGGTCCTGCTCGGACGGTCTCTATTGTGGTGGCTGGACGCTGCTGGGATGTTTTCACTCAGGCCTCCGCCACTGCCCCTCTTGGCGCTACACAAGTTGTGAACGTGCACATCTCCGCACCTTTGCACACACTGTTCCTCTGCCAGCAACACCCTCCTCTTCCTCCCGTCATTCAGAGGTCAGCGTGCATGTCCCCTCTTTGGGAAAGCTTCCCCTTTTTCATCGGGGAACAGCTGGTCACTTTCTTCTCTGAGTGCCCAGGGTCTTTGCACCAGCTACGCTCTGGTCACAAGGTAGGGCTGACTGCTGCTATCTGTCCCCTGCCCTCGTGACACGGGGGCTTATGAAGGCAAGGACCTTTGGTGCCCTCCTTGTGCCTGGCCCGTCTTGGAGCTTCACATGTGTCTGCCGGGGGAGGGAGGCTCAGTGGCTGTGGAATAAAGATGTTTGGGAACAAGCAGGTGAGCTGAGGGAATGCAGCGGGGAGGAGAAATCGGGTGACAAGGAAACCCGGGCTGTCTTTAAGAGGCCACTCATAGCTGGCTCTGCTCAGACGACCCCTCATCGCCTTCAGAGTGGTCCTCACAGGCTGGTGCAAGAGACCCAGAGTGCCAGAGACTTCCATTCAACTCTGCTGGAACCTCTCTATGTTCCAGAAACCTATTAAAGGAGGATGGCAATCATTTCAGTGACACTGTGTTGTCTGTAATATTACATGTTGTTATAGACATGTGTGAGACAAAGCATCTCGAAGCACTCTCCATGGTGGAGGCCACATCCGACATGCATCCCCATGGCCACTTTTCTAGGGGGTCTGACCCCTGAAACCTCCACTGCCTGGCGCGAGGCTAAGGAGTGAGCAGTGAGGGAAAGGCCTTGGGTGACCCAGAGAGCTTGACCCAAGCACACGGGGCCGAGGAGCATCTCCTCTCTGGGGACCTATGAACTCCTACCTCACGTACATGTGTAACAGGATTTTACTGTACAATGGCAGGATATGATCTGGTGATGTTAACTATGAATTATTGGGAATAAATTTCAGTGAGTCTGTCTAAGAAGGCAGGCAATGCATAGTGCAGTTGAGAAAATGATTCGCACAGAGTTTGGTGTTTGGAGTATATTTCAGGTGCCTGCATTCACTTATGGGGTCTCTCGCCTTTTGCAGACCCAGCAGACAAATGATAATAACGGTGGGTAATGTGGCCAGCACTGCCTAAAAGCTCTACCCTGTTACCTCCTTTAATCTCTAACAACCCAGGGAGGCAGGTATTATGGGTAATCCCATTTTATAGGATGTGGAAGGTGAGGCTCAGAGAGGGAATGCAACCCATCAAGGTCACACAGCCAACAAGAGCTTGAAGGGACTTTGAACCCCAGGTTAACAGACTCCAAAGCCAGAGCTCCGGGCCCCTTGGCCCTGCTCTGCCGTGGTTTTCCTCTCTTACCCTGGCAGACTGCTGCCCTGTTGGGTGTGTCTCCTGCTGTCCGTCAGTCTCCCCACGTCACCCAGCTCTGTGACAAGGTTCAGGTGATGGAGTTGAGCCCAGGAGCCTGGCTGCATGGCCAGGACCCCTGATGTCCCCTGCTGTCACATTTGCTGATGAATAAAGAGGTCCCTTCCTGGAGCCTGAGCTTTTATTGTCCAGCCGCAGGAGAAACATCCCAGGTGTCCCCTGACAGCCGAGGGCGAATCCTGACTGTTTGTGTGGACGAGCTCCAGGTGTATCCATAGCCTTTGGTTGAACTGGTCACACCTTGTCTCTCCACCAGAGGTAGAGTCTGGGGGCATCACTCTGCATAGTGGACACCCAGAGGGAGGGCCGGAGGTGGCAGATTCTGGGAGGCAGGGTCCAGGGTCCCGGCCAGGAAGGCGCTGTGGCTGCCCCACAGGTTGCTGTGAGGCTGAGCCCTCAAATCTGCTGGGGGGCTCTAAGGATTGGACCACCACCCTCTAGGTGTTGTCTCAGGCCACCCCAGGTGGAACACGGTGTCACTATGGAAGGGGACTCAGCAGCAGCTGCGTCTTGGGCTGGGACAGTCCCTTAGTGAGCTGGAGCTGGGGGGGCTTTCTGGCCCACTGGCCGCTTGCAACTGTTTCCCTCCTCTGGGCCTCAGGTTCCTCACCAGGAAGTAAAAAGTCAGATAATGGATGGAAACCTTGCTGCCTGTCATGGTTGACAAGGGCCACCAAACTGTAGGACCTCCTCACTGTCGTTAAAGGAAACGTTTGGCAGGCAGAGTGGCCTCTGTATAGTTTATGTAAATTATGTGGAAACATATAAAAATATGTGAAAGTATAGAAGGATATTTATAAAATTGCTAATGATGGTCACCAGGTATTGGAATTATGGGTGAGGGGTTTTTTTTTTTTTGCATAGTAATACAGTACTTATTTTTAAAACTTTATTTTTTCAATTGCAGTTTACATTTCATGTTATTCTGTATTGGTTTCAGGTGTACAGCGTAGTGGTTAGACATTTACAAAGTGCTTATTCTTGTTTTTTACAAATACAGAAAATTCCGATCCAGGATGTTGGACTCTAAACACTGTGCTCCCGGCCCATCTGCGCCGCTTCCTCTGCACCGAAGCCTGCCGGCGGCTGCCCTCACTTGTCCAAGGAGCCCGTGGCCAGTTCTCCATGGCGACCAGGTCCACCTGCCCGGGAGGTCTCGGTCACCACGCCTGCTGAATTCTCTGCGTCGCACACCTGAGAGGCAAACTCCATTTCCCAAACAGCCCAAGTGGAAGTCTGGGTCCCGTATGTTTTGTTCGCCTCTCGCCACTGCCCTCACCCCCAGGTCCAAACGCCATGCTGACCCAGGAGAGGTGGGAATAGGAGCAAGGTGGGGCAGGTGAGTAGACCTTTCTGGGTCTCCTTCGCTTTCCTCTCTGTCTTAGCTCGGGCTGCTGTAACAGGACGACACACACTGGGTGGCTTATAAACAACAGAACTCAGTATCTGGAGGCTGGAAGTCCAAGGTCAAGGCAACGGAGGTTTTGGTGTCTGGTGGGGGCCTGCTTCGTAGAGGACAGTCTTCTTCCTGTGTCCCCATGTGGCCTCTTCTGTAAGGGCACTAATCTCACTCATCAGGGCTCCACCCTCTTGACCTAATCACCTCCTCGATGTCCTACCTCCAGCTGGGAGCGCCTCGGGATTAGGTGTCGACGTGTGAAGTGGGGGGCACAAACCCTTGGTCTGCAGCCTTTCCGTTCCCAGCCACTCTCTGGACTCACTCCGGTCCCACACTTTTCCCTCCACCCTCCTAGCTTTCACCCTGGTAGGTCCTCCCCAGCCATCAAGGGCTGCACAGGGGTGTCTGCTCAGCAAAGCCACGGACAGCCGGCTGGGGTGGTGAGTTCATCTGCCCGGCAAGCTTTCCCACACTCCTCTGGGTTTCTCTGGAGCATGCCCTAGTGCCACGTGCTGTCAGTCACGGCCCCGCCCCTGCCACGGGGGTGGTCAGGACACAGGCAGACCAGTCAGACAGTCCAGCCCCCATGGCCACCGAGATTGGCTCAGGGGTGGGCACGTGATGCAAAGAGGAGCAGTCAGACTCTTTGCCGAGACTGATGTGAGAATATTGCAAGCGAGAGGTGCTCTTCTCACCGCCGTGGCTCACCTGGCACGTCGCGAGCTCGCAGCCGCGGGGGACCATTCTGCCTGCCTTGGAAGAGCACCTCTGTGCCGAAGAAAACCAGGTACAGACAGAGCTTCTGTTGCAGCTGAGCCTGGAGCATAGCCCTGGGCTTCCTGCGTTTTATTTGAGCTGGTTAGACATGGGGTTCTGTTCTTGGCACCTGAAGGAGACCTGACCTGGATAACCTCTCTGACCCTAGGGCCCCCCACCTTGTACAGTTTTGGAGTTAGTAGCCCATTTTTTCTTCTCTGCACATTGTCACCACTTGCTGCTGTTCCCCTCAGGGGGACCTCCCACAGCCCCTCAGCCATCGGTCATTACAGTTAGTGAAGGGCGACTGAGTGAACGAGGCAGGGGTGAGCCTACGGCCGCCTTGAGCCCCTTCCTGCAGCTGCTACCACTTCTACCTAAGGACCTGCTGCGTCTGAACTTCCTTTGCGAAGAGACCTTTGAAGAGAACAAGCAGACCGAGCCCCACCGGCCTGCATTCCTGCTTCGGGAGTGAGGCTGGGCTTGCGGGCAGTGCCTCTGCGATCCGGGTGATCCGGGCCTGACCGGCCTCGGGCCGAGAGGACAGACAGAACTGTTTCTGGAGCAACGAGAGGGCCCAAAGCCACAGCACCAGCACCTGCCAGGGACAGCTGGCATCAGAATGCATCTTGGCCCCTTAGAAGGCAGCCAGGAGGTCAGAGGCGGGCCCTGCTGTGGTCGTGGGGCCATGGCTGGGGACGGCGGGCCCGTTGGAATGGGTAGAAAGCTGAGTTCCTGCCAGGAAGCTTGACCATCTACAGCCCCTGCTCCCTGGGAAAAGTTCAGATTTATTTACTGTGTCGCCACCCTGGGCACCGTCTTCAGTGTGGCTGCAGGAATAAAAGTTATGGCTTTGGGAAAAAAAAGGAATCAGAGGAGCAGCATGCTTCCAGGTCCGCAACTTGAGGAAGCTTGGCAGGTGGTTGGAGAAATGTTTCCCTGTAGTAAATTAGACAGTGTTTTATTTTTCCTTTAGCTAGTCTTTCATAATAAATTCTACTGCGGGGCGGTGGGCAGGGTTCTTTCAAGTGATTCTTTCCTGAAACATAACACCTGCTGGTCTCGAGGGCCAGCAAGGGCGCTTGATAAGTCTGATATTGATGGAAATAAAATATTTACAATTTGCCTACGTACTGTTTTGGTTTGTGGAAGTCCCCCTCTCCCCCTCTCCTCCTCACACTGACTCTTAAGTAAGTAGCACAGCTGTGACTTCCATGTTCAGTGAGTCCTTGGTGATTTTAGCGGGAGCGCGGCTCGCAGAGAAGTCACCTCCATATTTAGAGATGCTATTCCCATGATGGAAGGGATCCAATGCAGTCAACTCGCCACTGGATCGCTGGCTGGTCCCCTTGGGGGATGAACAGTGACACATCTGTAGCCAGAGGAGCCTGGAGGACGTGAAGTCCATGTTGCTGAGCTCGTGCCTCAGTTCCATGCATCCGAGTGCCACGGCTCCAAGGTCAGTAGAAAGCCTAGTTCTCCAGTGCGCAGGGACCTGGGGGAGGGCCGTGTTGGGGCAGGAGAGCACCTTCTCAAGGGGCCTGTGGCAGATTGTCACGCTTTTGTGCTGTGACATGGAGACTCCTGACTGAGCAGTAGAGTCTGTGACCTCTTCCCTTGAATAGGGACTTAGTTAAAAACTCACAACATGGCTGCAATTTTTATTACATGCCAACATGAGTTGGTTCAGGGATGCTCAGCTGGCAAAACACAATTTCTGGATGTGTCTGTGTGGGTGCGTCTGTATTAGCATTTGAAATGTGAACCTAGTAAAGCAGACGGCCCTCCCCAGTGTAGGTGGGCGTCATCCAGCCCACCAAGGGCCTGGACGGAGCACAAAGGCAGAAGGGCTAATCCACGCTGCAGGAGCTGAGATGCCCATCTTCTGCTCTCAGCCAGAGGTGCCTCTGGTTCTTGGGCTTTCAGACTCATACCAGGAGTTACACCGTCAGCTTCCCTGGCCCCGCCCCCATTCTCAGGCCTTCATTCTCGGACTTCACCATACCAGCAGCTTGCCTGGTTCCCCAGCGTGTAGATGTCAGATCGTGGGGCCTCTTGGTCTCCATAGCTCTGTGAGACGATCCCTAGAATAAATCGCCCTTTATATCAATCTTCTTCTTGGTTCTGCTTCTCTGGAAAACCCGACGAATACAATGGCAGTAGAGGTGCCCCTTGGCGTCTAGGGCTAGGCTAGAAAAAGCGCTCCGGTTTCCACCCAGTGCTCATTACGGAAGCCATGCCAACCTTGTGTCTGGTGATTGAATACCATCACTTGGCCTCCACGTCCTGAGATTGCATCCTCCCGGTTGAACTCAAGGAACCCAGTTGGGTGTCCCCCTCGTTCCCAGTCTACAGAGAACAGCCACTGTGGAGAGACCTTCAAGGGTGCCGCCCAGCCCCCACCGAAGCTGGGTGGTCAGTGTGACTGACGTGCCTGCCCCCCACAGGTCCTCCGTCCTAGCTGGTGTCCTTGCTGATACAGACCAGTGGCTGCTGAACCTTTATACTGAGAGACAGCAGCCGGGTCTGGCTCAGGGGAGCGTGTCCTCTCTGGATCCCAGAGAGGAAAAGAATCTACGTAGCATCGAAACAGAGGCAGCAGAGGCAGGCTGACCTGAGCTCCTGTGAGGAGCAGAGGACAAACGCCATGACAGGGGCAGCAGGAGTGCTACACCGGGCGGGCTGGAGGCACCTGAGATGATGCTTGGGGTCCCCAGAGCAGGACTCTTTACCGGGGCAGCTGGGCTGTGAGCCCATGATGTGGAGGCCAGTTGTGGGGTCTGTCTCCTTCCCGGTGGGGCCCCTCCTCTGCCCTCTCCACCCCGTCCTCCTGAGTACGTGTGGCCGTACCATTTGGCTGTCCCTTTTGGGGGTGCCACCTCTCAAATCAGACACCTTCATCCTGCACCTGATGCCTGGAGTCCTCACAGAGCCTTGGAGCCTCAGGGCTGCTCAGGGACCATGGTGAGGCTGGCAGTGGTCAGAGAAGACGAGCTGGCAGGTGGGGGGCAGGTGCCTGAGAGCCCCCACAGGGGCCCTGCTCCGAGAGGAGGTCTCTAGTGGTCCAGCTCTGTGGTTCTCAGTTGGAGGCAATTTTTCCCTGCAGGGGACCGTTGACAGTGTGGGGGGATTTTGGAGGTGTGTGAACCAGTGAGAAAGTCCCCACAGCAAAGAATGGTCCAGCCCAAGATGTCCTTAGTGACAAGGTGAGAGACCTTGGTCCAGGTGAGCACTGAGGTGAAGAACCTTGGTGTGGGGGACCTCAAAGGGTGTAGCAGGGACCTGTGTGACTCAATGACCAGAGGGAATGAGGGTCTCTCAGGAGCTGTCAGCTGGACAGAGGGCAGCAGGGGGCCCGCCTCAGCCCACGGCAGGATTCAGCACCAAGTGGCATTTGGGAGCCAGCAGGAGAATAGAGGGAGTGGGGACCCCTCCATTGATTAAGTTTTTACTATCCCGTAAAAAAGGGGCTTGCACAGAAATGAAGTTCAACCCAAGTGGAGTTCAGCTGTCGATCTGAGAACTAGATCTGCTGGTGCAGTTAACCTCGGCCGGGTGCTGTGTGTGTCACTCCACTTAATCTCATGGAGAGTTGGGTGGTTACCCCCTCTTATTTAGGGGAGGCCGAGGCTCAGAGCAGGGAAGCAAGGGGCCCAAGCTCTCAGCTGGTAGTCAGTGGTGTTGGGATTGGAACCAGCTGGTAGTAGGTGGTGCTGGGATCTGCCTCAGTGTAGCGGCAGTGCCTCTGGCGGGTGTTTCTGTTCGTGGGTAGAGTTGTGACAGGCCCCACTCTCTGAGCCTGAGTATATCCAGGCCGATCCCCGGCCAGGGGGTCCGGCCTACGACAGCAGCTCACGGACCCTAGCGTGGGACATGTTTGCTCGACTCATCCCTTGCCAAGGCCTTGCCTCTGAGCCTGGCCCTTATTTCTTCTAAGGCAGGGGTGTCAAACTCATGTCTGCCAGGGCCCACATCAGCCCCGCGCTTGCCTTCAAAGGGCGGAATATAATTTTAGGACTGTATAAATGTAACTCCTCCTTGGTAGTTAAGTGGGAGCTTGGTGCTGCTGCCAGGCAGAAACAAGGTGCTGGGCTGGATAAAATAAGGTGGAGGGTCGGATTCGGCCCACCTGTGTTCTAAGGAGATGTGAGATTGCCGCAGCCCGGTCCCCAGGAGCTCGTGCCCTCCCCTGTCCTACGCTGGGCAGCCCCCGGGGCAAGACTGGGTTATGGGGCAGCAGCCCCAAATCCGCTTTTTATCATGGGCTTTCTCCGCTCTTTGTAGGCACTAGCTGGACATGTAGGTGTGGTCCTGCAAAGAGGCAGGAGCGTCAGCTGCCGGGGAGGTCAGCGGCTCCTGAGGTCCCTGGGGAGGCCTTCTTGGCCACATGTCCTCAAAGTCACTTCATGACCATGGTGAGGCCTCCACCCTCCTCCACCCTGGCCAGCTAGGCATCTCCTTCTCAGCCTTTATCCACAGCCTAAGTCAGCTGAGCTGCGCCTCGTCCTGCCGGTGTCTCTCTCCCAGAGCTGTAGGGGAGGAAAGAAGCTAATTTACTCTTAGGTCCTGCCCCTGAGGCCTGCAAACGAAACTGACAAATGGCAGATCGACAGGGGAAAGGCATACCGATGTTATTTGACGTTTGACATTTTAATTTCTCTGTGCAGGGAGGCCTTCATAGCAAAGAAGGGAAGACCCGAAGAAGTGGCTGGACCTGGGGTCTTACAGGCTATTTCAGTGCATTGGGGACCATTTGGCCTTCGAGGGGTGAGAACTCGTGGGAGGGTAAATGTAGGCAAAACAGATGGAAAGGAAGGGTTTAGTAGAGCTTGCTGTGCAGACCCACCTCGGTGCTGACTCTCTGTCCCCAGGGCCAAGGGTGGGAGAGGGGAGGGAGGACACGTTCCCAAAGGGGAATTTATGTCCTGCTTTCTGGCAGGTAGGCGAGGAGCTGTGTGTTTGCTGTTCACGTGTCTCCAGCTCCAAGTTCTGTGCCCAAGTGGCATGTTTTGGGTGGCAGATTCCGGTCTCCCTCCCTGCTCCCTCCGCTCCCCGCACCTTCCCCCCAGGTTTCTATGTTTGCCCACATGCCCACACTTACTTCTGTAAACAATGTCGTATACTCCCAAAGAATCCTTGGCAGCTGCGGTCAAACGAATTGTCCCAGAGAGGGTGACAGTGCAGGAAAGAGGCCGGAGGGGGCTGAGGGGACCTCCTGGGCCCCGGGCTTAGGAGCTGGGCCCTGCTTTTCACTTGCTGGGAGGCCACAGGTGTGTGGTTTTGCTTGCGCTGAGCCTCAGGCATGTTGTCAGTATTGTGGGGTAGGAGCTCCCCAGCCAGCTGGCTTGAGGTCAGAGTGGAGATGAAGGCATTCTGTAAACCTTGGAGTGTTGGGTGGGGCCCAGTGGCCCGGAAATCTTTCCTCCTAGGGCTGACCTTGAATTCTGGCTTGCTGCCAAGGACAAGCTAGGGTGGGGACAGCAGCGAAATAAACTGATTCACTCCAGCTCAGAGAAGCTAGCAGGGTGTGCAGGAACTGTTGGAAGGGCGCCCCCTGGTGTCCATGCTGATGGTTTCCCCCTTTTCTGCTCCTGGTGAAGCAGGGGTGGGTGGTGCTGGTGGAGCCCTCCTCGCTCTCTCCTCCGGGTCAGGCTCCTACCTGCACAGGAGCCAGTGCTGAGTGGCATCCACTGCCTCTCCTCAAACCCCTAAGCTCACACTCCGTGTCCTGTTTACAAAAGCTTTGCCTCCCCAAGGTTATGAAAATAGTCTCTTCTTCATCACTTTTCAGAATACTTTTGTTTTACTTTCCATGGTCTATACTTGAAGAAAAAAAAAGCACCCTAAAATTTGCTTAAAGATTGGTTGCTGTAGAGTCAAATTCAGTATGAAACAAAAAATAGGTAATAACACCTAAACTTTGGTTTCCTTAGCTGGAAAGTGGGGATAATTGTCACGGGGTTGTTGGGACATAATGGGAGATAATTTGAGTCAAGTTGCTCAGAGTAGGGTGGTCATGCAGTGCGTAAAACTCAGTGTGGGTGCTAATGGCTGTTGTGGGCCCCCCTGGTGGTTTCTGTGGCCGTCTGGGTCCCGTTTGACAGCGACCGTCACGAAGGG